AACGAGCGCGCCCGGGGCGTCGGCGCGCATCGCCCGCGCAATCCCGCCGCAGGAGCCCAGCCGGCGCCGCTGCTATCGGGGACCCTCCCCGGGTCCGCGGGACTTGTGCCCTCTGCGCTCAGATCGCCAGACCCGAGCTACCCAAGTTGGCAGTTCCCGCCGCTTTTTTTCAGGGGGTCTCCAGAGGCAGCAGGTGGGACCGCTACGGGTTTCTTTTCACGGCTTCTTTTTATTGTCACTGAAATAACTTCGCGACAGCGAAGACAAAATCAAGCATACTTTCTGTTTTTAGTATTTACTGGCAAAATGTCCGTGGAAATATAAAGGGTGGGAAAGAGAACTCTCCAAACTCTTGCGTCCGCGACCACCGCCCCTCAGGCCGTTCACTGCGCTGGAGGCCGCGCACCGATCCATCTGCGCACGGATCCACAGCGGTGGTGGCGGCTGCCGTGCGCTGGTGAAGGTCCGGGAGCCACTCTGTAGGTCCAGCTAAACCTGCGGACCCGGGTTTGAGGAAGAACCTGATCCAGCAGAACTGACTAGGAGCTGGGCAAAGACCAGGCGAAGTGGCCGCCCAGGAGCCCTGAGCGGCGGTCGGGCTCACGGGAGGTCTAGACCTTGCTGTGCGCGTGGGAGAAGCGCAGGGAAGTGGTGCCTTTGGCCCCTTGGGAGCTGGAGCCCCAGCCAGGCGGCCCAAAGGCCTAGAAAGGAGTTTGCTGCGGGTCTCCAGGCCACAGGGAGGAAAATTCTGGAGAGGGGTTCTCTAAGACCAGGCAACTGACTGAATTTCCTGAAAGATGCTTGCTTCTCTCTCCAGACTATGGGTTAATGTTCCTGCCACGGCCTGCGCCTGCCTAGATTCCTGCCATCCTGCCTGGGGTGTCTGTGACGCGCTCATTCTCTCCTCCTTTTTGTGCTTCCCTCGCTTCTTCCTCTGACAGATAAAACTTTTACCATAAATCCCTGTATTCATAAAGATCAGATCATCACACTACCCAGAATTGCGGCTCACCCAAAAATACTCAGATAAACGGATCGATGTCTGTCCTCACTCACAAGTGAGGAGGCATCGGTGTGATTTATCCGAGGATACATGGTTACAAAGAGGCTGAAGAAACAGCCTTCTCAGATTCTCTAAATGGTTGGCTCATCTGCTGCCTTTACTTTCTATTACTACATTTTTTTACTGTGATTTTCATAAAACCCCATCTACCACCCCAACCCTTGTCCGCAAGATTCTTTGATGGACGGAAATTAACTAAAATCAACACGGCAACTCTCCCAGAAGTTAAAATTAAATATTTTCAGATATCTGTGCTGAAATTTCCTTCTGAAAGTCATCCAAAAACCTCTGGGGAAAGGGCTTTGAAGTCACAAAGACAGACCTGTTTGGGGGTCCAGACTGCAGCTCACTGGTGGAGTGACAGTCTCTCTGGTGTCACTTACCAAATACTGTATAAACTGGGAGGGCTCAGACTGGCTCCTAAAGATTAGAGGTGATGTATCTTGTATATAAGCTGTAGGAGGTGGTCAATTTCAATAGAGGGAAAAAAGTAACAACTCTCAAGATGTTTTCCAGAAACCCTACTTCCATGATTATGACTTGTATGTGCAATTTGAGTGTTCTGAGATCACTGAATCTAAATGGGACCAGATTCAAAGGGAAATAGTGCTGCAGCCAAAACCTGAAGCGAGTGCACGTCCCCCCAGATTCCCCCACACTGCTCTCCAAGGCGATACTGAGCAAGCATTTCCCCCTTATAAGTCAAACAGCAAGTGCCTTAAATAGTTCCAGTGGGCAAAAAGTTTAATTTACCTCCTCCCACTTTCTTGCAGGAGTAGCGAAAAAGCAGAAGAACCCTAGCTGGGGTTGTGGCCCCTGTTTTTGACGGTCCTGTGCCCCCACCCCCACCCCCCGGTCCTCCAAGGGTGTACTTCACAGTGATCAAAGCGAGAAAAGGCTGAGTCACCCACTTCACAAACGGGGAGTGTGACTGCAAGGTGAGAGAGCTGGACACATCTCTTTGTTCCACTCTGCGGAAGCATCCTGATCCTCCTTGACCTGCAAATAAACTGCAGTCAGGTGGAGTGGCTATTATTGTTTATTAGTGCGTTCGGCATTTAACGAGAGTCAGCTGTTCTGTGCTTCCAAAGACTGTCCTCGTACTCGGTGACCCCGTGAGATAACTGCCATTATCTGTTCTGTAACTGAGGAAACTGAGTCTCAGTTGTAAGGACTTGCTCAAGGTCACCCTGCTTTTCAGGGACGGGAGGACCACGGGTAGCTCAGTCAGCCCCAGAGCTCACCCTTTCACACACCTCTACACTGACTTAGTACAGAAGTGGAGCTGAGACCTTGCCTGTCTTCCAGTAGAAAATGCCGCCCGCATTGTGATTCAAGCCTGCCACTCACAGCCACCTAGATCAGTAGTGCGGCAGGAGATATCAAATTCACAGTGCAATGAGGACATTTAAAGAAACGAAGCGACTCGGCAGGAGGTGGTAACAAGGAGCAGGACCCAGAACCCAGGTCTCTGTTATTCTAGGGTCATTCTGAAATGTCCCAGGACTCTGACACTCTGACTTGTCTCACACCAACATGTACTGACTTCTGCACTGTGGTCCTCAAAGTTTTCTCATGCCTTCTTTCATTTAATATCACCACTTTGCAGACCAAGAACATTGATGAAGCTGCCCGATATCGCTGGGACACCAAACAGCAGCACAGAGGTTCAGTCTCTGGTCTGCATCGCTGTGATCCTCTGTCCTTTTTTTCAAAGGGGAGGAAGCTCCTTCCAAGGTGACTGTGAGCATTTCTGTCTGCTGATGAGGTCGTTTAAGATGCGCTCTGTTCCATTATCTACACTATTATTTTAACATAACAGTTTAGTAAGGTTTGAGAATAGCCAGAGCTTGTGAAGCTAGACAGACATCATCCTACTCTGGTGAAAAAAGTCTGTGGCTCTGTGGCGGATTAACTAATGGGCGGCTTGGAACACCCAGCTGAACTGAATCAGCGTGGTGCTGGGTGTGGGGGGCCCACCCGAGGGTTGTTATCAACAGCATGAAAGGAGAACTGGAGGGGAAGATGGTGTGCTGTTGAGTCTCCTGGAGAAGCTTGTCATGCTGGCTTTCCTGATAGGAGCTCAGCTGTGTTCACTATGGAAGGAGCTCAGGACCTCGCTGTTGCTGAGGATGGCTGCAGTTCTTTTCGTGGCAGCTCTGTCCTTATCTTAAGTGTTGCTTCCTGGCTCCAGTGCAGATCCCTCAGCCTGCTGGCGCAGACCCTACATCCCGCTGATGCAGACTTTCTAGCTTCCACCACTGACCTTTGGGCCTTCCCAGTGCAGATCCTTGATACAGACTTGCATGAGACATTGCGGTGGGCTGTAGGTTGACCCATGGAGGACATTGCCACAGGCTCTGAATCTTCAACTGGCCTCGTACAGGACATTGCCAGGGCTCTAGTCTTCAGCTGAACTTGTTTGCTGTAGGATCCAGACCCTCAGCTAGATTCTTTGGGTCTTTAGTGTATGGACAGATTTCCTGCACTCCTCTGCATTTGACTCTTTGGGTGAATATTATAAAATAATGCTATAAATTATATGTCCTGTATTCAGTCTAGTCCCTTGTACACCCTAACTACAACAGTCTACAACCTCTTTGGAAGTGAATTGGAATTGTCCATTAAAACCATAACAAGGGAAACTGACTCAGCAGTTACCCTTCTAGGAATTTGTAGCACTCATCAAAGCTGCACGCACACGGGAGTTGATTGTGGCGTTGTTCGTAACAGCAAAAACTAGTAACAACCAGAGTGTCAAGCACCGGGAAACTACTTACATGAAGATGAGTCCTACATGCAAAGGAATATGACACGGCCCCAAAAGGGACAGGGTAGATCTCTGCACTGCTACAGAAAGATTTCCTGGGTGTATCATTAAGGAGTAAATGCAAGTTCCTCAACAGCATTGTAGTATGAGTGAATCTGTGTAAAATTCAAGAGTACAGAACACTTCTGGAAAAAGTATGTAAGTAATTAATTGTCGACACTGAGTACCTCTGCAAACTGAGACAGCGCAAGAAACTTCCTTTTATCTTATTTGAATTATTGAAATAATTGAATTATTGAAATCCATACTATTTGGGTTTTTTTTACTATAAACATTGTATTTTTGTTAACTAATGACCACAAAATATAATTTGCTTTTTAACTAGTAAACATTAACAACACTTAGTACATTAATAAGATGTTCATTATTAAAGCAAAATGTCATCTGAAAGAATGAAGGAGAAAAACACTGGCCAATGTCATTAGCCAGGTTTAAATTCTACACCTTTGATATCCTAACAACTCCAGTAGAGACGCTTCAATAATCAAATCGTTAAGCTGCCAGCAGTCACGTTGATCCAACTGCAATCTACTAGTTGGACAGTTATAGATCATATTAGCAGCCTATCTGTGTCAGCTGTGACAACGTAACTGGTAGCTGGGTGTTAAGAAAAACAGCTTCTAGTTCTTGAGTGTTGCTTTGACAGTCTGCCCATTTTCACAGATAAGAAAACTCAGGCTCAGTGAAGTTCAGCCACCTGGCCGCCTGTGAGTGGAGGGACTGGATCTCCCACCCCACTATTTCTCCCAGAGTTGTGCTTTTAGCTGCTCTGCCCGGTGTTTCTTGGCAAAATGGAGTTTCAAGTCGAGACACCCCTCCGGAAACCCTCAAGGCTTGAGCCTTTCTGCTGCCCTCGCTGTCCCATCGTTTGGCTTCCCTTCTCTCCACCCTCCCTGGCTTTTCCTTTCTACCCCACTGAAGTGAGCTTTACCTATTTGTTGGTCCCTCTGTCAAAAAGAGTATAGGTTTTTACTTGGAGTCTATGGAATCCCTACAGAAGTTTGAAAACAATCATAAAATAAAATTCCATCCTGGGTTCACAAAGGATCACCTCTCTCTCTCTGAAAACCCAAGAGAGGCAGTGGCTGGAGGGTGCTGTTTAAAAATAATATGGTTACTCATGGAACTGGATGTGCATTTGAATTTGAAGGAGACCGTTAGGGAACTTTAGCTGAGGAAAAGTGAGGACATGACCCATGAGGCGCTTTTCTGCCTAACAACCCAGAGAACTCCCTCATTGGCTGGAGGGAGAGCTGAGCTTCAGGCTCTCTAATGGGGACTGTATCACCCAGAGCTCTTTTCCTCTAATAAGCCCCACAGGTACTGGGTGTTGTAGTCACAGTAGCAGCTGGTTGGGAGTCAGGAAATGCAAGTTCTGGACCTCTGGGTGTATCCACTGTCCCTGGACAGAAAAGCAGTTATTCCAAACCAATAGTGGCATCAGCAACTTTGCCTCCCCTAAGAGCATAGCTGTCCCAAGCTAGCAGGATAGTAGCACTGCCCTTCCCTGCTGGTTCAGTAAGTGGCAAAACACCAAGGGAATACTGACTTCATGGCCCCAGGACTTGAGTAGTACAGGGAATGGCTGCCTCAGCGCGGCTTCCTGGAAAATGCAGTTGCAAACTGTGATTGGTTGAGGCACAGAATGACCTTCTCTCATTTGCTGTTTCCAGGGAAAAAGAAGACTGGATCTGGTGAGTGTCATACAGCTAGTGGCTTGGCGGGGAGGGTGTAGGAAGAGATGGAGGCATGACATGTATGTGGAAGAAATGTTAGCTTGTGGTTAATTGCATGACTTAAATTCCACGGCGCTGGCACCCCCTGTGGAGACCCAGTTTTTACCTTCCATGCTTAATCCCTGGGGAATGTCACTGTCATTCAGAGGCCCAAGGCTTCTTTGACTCCAAGCCCCAGCCAAGCTAAACTGTGCATCTCCGAGAGAAAGGGTTCCTTTCCTAGCCCCTCCCCCAGCAGCCTCCCCTGTCTTCTTTTATCACTGGCCGTGGCCGTGTGTCTGTCAGGCCACTTGGTCGTCAGAGCATAAACATCTCAGGCTGTGTGCCCACCGGCTCCGGGATCAGGTGACCATTATGGAAGCCTACACCGGAGGCCTCGGCATGCCAGCGTGACGCCAGGAACAGCAAGAGCCTGTGATGTGCTGACCTCACGGAGTGGCACCCTTGCAGCTGGCCCGGCAGGATGCCACTCCCTGGCGTGGACTCTTTGATCATCCCTACACAGGAGATCCTGCCTAGCTCCTTCCCAGCACAGACTCAGGTCAGAAGCCCAGCGGCCCCAGTCTGCTAGCTGCACAATATTACTTGAGTTTCTTTACCTGTCTGAGCCTCTGTGTCCCTATCTGCAAATAGGAATAATAAAGTTACTGAGAGGACTAAATGTAAAGCGCTTGGGCCAGTGTCATTTGGCACATTTGGGCTTGGCAGGTCATTGCTGGCTATTTATTGTGATTCTCTGACCTCCACTGAGAAGCTCTGGGGCCATAATATAGTCTTCGCTTGAAAAAGAGAGGGTTGCTCTGGGTGAGGATGTCAGTCAGCCCCTGTGCATACAAGCTTCAGGGTGAAAAGATACAACCACATATACTCTCAGCACTGAGGCAGAAGGATTACAAGTTCCAGCTCAGCCTGGACAACTTAGTGACTTAGTAAGATTCTGTCTCTAAATTAAGAAATAAAAATAAATGTAGGGCTGGAAATGTAGCTCAGTGCAGAGACCCTAGGCTTAATCCCTAATCTCTCACACACACACACACACACACACACACACACACGCACACACATGCACACACACCCAACACCCAACAGGCTAACAAGGAAAATAAGGATATTATCAGAACACACTGTGCGTAAGAAACTTACAGAGCTGGTTTGGTCCTGGTCCTGCCCCTTGCCAGCCTAGTATGTGTGATTATGTTATATAAACCATCAGACCTCAGTTTCCTCATCCATAAGATGGGAACAACGGATCTTTCCTTCCCTACTGCTATGAGGGCTGAGCTCAGTTCTAGCCCAGAGTCATCTGTCAGCACATGTGGCTGCAATAACAACTGTCTGTTTTCCCAATCATATGATGCCAGCCAGCTCAGAAAATGAGAATGTGGTGAAGACAGGATGCCCGAGGTGGAGGTGATCGCTGTGGTTTTGTTGCCCTCTCAAGGTGGATCTCAGTAGGGATAAGGTATTGCCATCTCCTTGGACTGTTTCCCTGAGGAACTTGACCTGTGATGATTTAAAGAATGGCCAAGGAAGCCTGCTAGGATTGAGGAGGGCTGAGGGTCTCAACACATGCTTGCTTCACTGTCCTCTTCGTTCCCCAGGAACCCACCAAGAGAGTGTGAATAAGTATGTCTCAGTTGTCTAAGGGAGTATTATTGGTTGTCTTAGTTACTTTCTCATTGTTGGGACAAAACACAACACTCACAAGTTAGAGGAGGAAAAGTTTATTGTAGCTCAGTTTGTAGAGGTTTCAGTTCATAGTCAGCTGGTTCCAAGGCAGGGTGGTAGGGCAGCGAGGAAATGGTCCATGGTATTACAGGCAGAAAGCAGCACGCCTTCCTTCTTTCCCTTTTTATTCTATCCAGGCTACAAGTGTATTGGCTGGTACCACCCGTACCCAAGACTGGTCGTCCTTCTTCAGTAAGTAATTGCCAACACTCAGAACTATGCTAACCTAGCTGTGGACTAATCCAGTGTCACACACCCATGCTCCAGTGACCTCCCAAAAGCCCTACCTATGAGCAAATGAGGCTTGGGAGGCGTCTACATATAAGCCATAACATGGGTTGAACTATATCATCCCAAAAGATATCTTGAACTCCTAACCACTCATACATGTAAATGTAACTTTTTATTTAGAAATAGGATCTTTGCAGATGTAATCAGTTGAGATATGGCCCTTAGGATGACCCTAGTCCAGTATGACTGGTATCTTATAAAAAGAGGGAAATTTAGACATAGATGTACAAAGAAGGGAGCCACATAAGAACAGATGCAATTAAAGCCAAGGAACACCAAAGATGGTCAGCCACCATCAGAGACAGGTAGAGGCAAGGGAGGATTTGACCCAGCCCCAGAGGGAGTGTCTGCTCACTGACACCTGGGTTTCTGGCTTTC